GCAGCGCAGAGCCCCTCTGGCACGCCCCTGCCACGCACGGCACGCCAGTCCTCACCCTGCCACGCAACACACGCGTGCTGGCAAACCCACTCGCATGCCGTGTGCTCACGCTGGTGCACACACAGCCCCCTGCGTCGCACCGATGCACGTGCACACGCTCCTGGGGTTCCCCTTTTTGGAAGGATCCGGTGAGGAGCTGCTCGTGATCCGGCGCAGGGATCAGGCTGCCGGAGCAGGGTGGCCAGTCCGCGCAGGCGGCTGCATGGGCCGAGCCTGGGGAATACAAAGCAGGAGGTGGCGGAGCTGCCTGCAGAGCCGTTTTGCAGCGGGTGCTTCTCCCCACAGTGCCTGTCCCCCGGAGGGCTGGAAGCCTGCAGAAACCAGACTCTTCAGGACGGTGCCTGGCTGCCTTAGCCGGGAGATGGCACGTGATTAACAACGAGCATCCCTCAGCGAGCCCGGCAGCGAGAGCTGCAAAGCCTTTGTTACGCCCCCTCCACTCGTGTCCAGCTTTGGGATGCCGCATTGGGGTCGGTCAGGTACAGCTAAAATCCTGCGCCTCCCCTAGGGCTGTGCACAGCATGAAGGCCAGCGGCGGCTGCCCTAGGACAGATGTCCCGGTGCTGGGACAACCTCCCTTGCCATCGGATGTAGGGGCAGCTCGGCCACCTCTGGACCCTTCATGGGGCTGGGTGGCCCAGCAGCCTGGGGAAACTGGAGCAGAGCAGAGCTTGGGGAACAGGGACCCCAGAGACAGGCATCCACGAACTCTTTCCAAAAGCACTTTTTGGGGAGTGCTTCATCTTTGCTGGAAAGCCCAGGATGGACAGAGGGACCTACGGAGGCAGGGAGCTGCCCCCAACATCATCCCTGCCACCTCCCACAGCTCCTGCCCTGCCCCGGGCACCCCAGAGCACTCAAGCCAAAACTCTGCCATCGTCCACTGGAGAGTGAGCTGGGCTGAGCTGCACAGTCCTGGCTCTCGTGCAACTGGGCTGTGAGCGTGACAGGGCGAGAAGGACTCGGGTCCTCCCTGAGGTCACAGCCTCCCCACCCTGCCTTGCCACACCGCAGTGCCGGGCTGTGCACTAGCCAAGGGGCTGAGCCTTGCCATGCACAGGGGAAAGGCCCCTGCCACCCAGCTCTCTGCAGCAGCGAGTGTCACCTCCATGGGCCCCCACTGCCCAGCTCTCTGCAGCAGCAAGCGTCACCTCCACGGGCACTGGGGATTGCATCAGGTTCACCCCACCTCTCAGGACACGCTTGCCCGGGTGTCACAAGCCCTTGTTCCGTTGCAGCGGTAAGGCCGGGTGTGATTTCCAGCCCACAACACATGCCCAGGACACGGCCCCACTGCAGCAGCAGAGCAGCAGGCGTGTGCAGGAGCATGGCGAGAGCAAGCTGGCAGCCGTGCCAGGGGCCCCACGCTGCGCCCTGGGCCAAGGGACCCAGCGGTGGATGAGATGCAGCCCTTGTGGTGGCAGAGGACGGCGGCAGCGAGCGCAGCCGCCTGCTTTTGTCACACTTCCCTTTGTCCCAAGCACGTGGCACCCAGCGCAGGGAGCCGCAGCCACCCGGAGAGCAGTGACAGGGACGGGTCAGCCGGAGGGGAGGCAGAGCCCCAGCTCAGCTGCCAGGAGGGTTTTCCGGCTGCGGTGGCAAGGGGGACACAT